ATGGTGGCGTGTGCCTGTAATCCCAGCTACTCAGGAGGCTGAGGCAGGAGAATTGCCTGAACCCAGGAGGCGGAGGTTGCGGTGAGCCGAGATCGTGCCATTGCACTCCAGCCTGGGTAACAAGAGCGAAACTCCGTCTCAAAAAAAACAAAAAACAAAAAACAAATTTGATTTATTTATTTTTATTTGAGACAAGGTCTTACTGTCAGCTAAGATGGAAAGCAGTGGCACAGTCTTGGCTCACTGCAACCTCTATCTCCCCTGCTCAAGTGATCCTCCCACCCCAGCCTCCTAAGTAGCTCTGGAGTAGGTAGTTTTTTAAATTTTAGCAGAGATGGGGTCTCACCATGTTGCCCAGGTTGGTCTCAAACTCTTATACTCAAGCAATCTCTCCGCCTTGGCCTCCAAAGTGCGGGATTAGAGGTGTGAGCCACCGCACTGGGTCTGTATCTGATTAGTCTACTATTCAGAGAACCTAGGGCCTATGTCTGTAGTCTGTTGTTTGTGCTAGTTGCCACTCAAGGGATCTTGTCCCCTTGTGAGTTTGAATGCTAGACACTGCAAATGTTGTGTGTGTGTGTGTGAGACACAGTCTCACTCTGTTGTCCAGGCTGGAGTGCAGTGGCATGATCTTGGCTCACTGCAACCTCCACTACCTGGTTCAAGTGATTCTTTTGCCTCAGCCTTCCAAGTAGCTGGGATTACAGGTGTGAGCCACTGTGCCTGGCCTAGACACTGTAATTTTAAAAATATTTGTAAAAGCAGCCAGGTGCAGTGGCTCACGCCTGTAATCCGGAACTTTGGGAAGCTGAGGCAGGCGGATCACAAGGTTACCAGTTTGAGATCAGCCTGACCAATATGGTCAAACCTTGTCTCTATTAAAAATACAAAAATTAGCTGGGCATGGTGGTGCATGCCTGTAATACTGGCTACTCAAGAGACTAAGGCAGGAGAATGGCTTGAACCCAGGAGGTGGAGGTTACAATGAGCGGAGATCGCTCCACTGCACTCCAGGCTGGTGACAGAACGAGACTCCATCTCAAAAAAAAAAAAAAAAACTGTAAAAGCAACTTATGAACATAGGTAATAGGTAATGTGTTGCATCTCCCTTCAAGGATAATTTACATTTGCTTCTGCTAGGGAGCGGTATTAGTATGCATTAATATGACATTAATGACACCGTCAGATCTTGGAACATGACTTTATGTCACAAATCAACATGGCTGCAGCCCAAGCAAGGTTTTCCTTACTCTAAGTTCATCTTTTCTTCTAGAGAGCAGTACTTTAGTGTCTCAAAAGTAAGTTTGTGGCCAGCCACAGTGGCTCATGTCTATCATCTCAGCACTTTGGGAGGCCAAGGAGGGCAGAGCACTTGAAGTCAGGAGCTGGAGACCAGCGAGGTCAGGAGCATGAGACCAGCCTGACCAATATGGTAAACCTTGTTTCTATTAAAAATACAAAAATTAGCCGGGACTGGTGGTACACACCTATAAACTTAGCTGCTCAGGATGCTGAGGAAGGAGAATCGCTTGAACCCAGGAGGCAGAGGTTGCAGTGAACCAAGATTGGGCCACTGCACTCCAGCCTGGGCAACAGAACAAGCCTCCATCGCAAAAACCCAAAACAAACAAAAATATCGAAAACAACAACAAAAACTAAGTTTAGGATAGCAAATCAGGCCCCTTCCTTTGGTAGACCCTGGGCTCCACCTTTTGTCCCTTAAATCACCCAAAAGCGGTGCTCAAATCTCACCTGCCTTTCAGCATTAGCAAAAACCTTCTTTTACTACAAATGGTGGGCTCCTCTCTCTAGATTTCAGCCTTCTCTCAAATTTTGGCCCAGTGATTTCTCATTATCTTGTTATATCTATCTTTGATGGTTTTGATGTTTTAAAAAGTTTTAAAATGTTTTGTCAAACGTCTTCACTATCTTCAGAGAGACAGCTATATGATTTATCTCCCTTGTCACTAAGCTATGCACTCTTCATTAAGACAAGTACACCATAATATAACTATTGCCAATAGGAAATAGTTGAGTCAAATGAAGATGTTTCAAGACATGAAAGATTTAAAAGTCTATTTGAGCTGGGTGTGATGGCTCACACCTGTAATCCAAGCATTTTGGGAGGCTGAGGCAGGAGGACAGCTTAAGCCCAGGAATTTGAGACCAGCCTGGGCAACATAGTAAGACCCTGTCTTTACAAAAAAAAAAAAAAAAAATTAGCTGGGTGTGCTGACACGGTACTTGAGAGGCTGAAGGGGAAGGATCACTTGAGCCCAGGAGTTTGAGACCAGTCTGGGCAACAACATGGTGAAACTCTGTCTCTACAAAAAATACAAAAATTAGCCAGGCATGGTGGTAGGTACCTATAGTTTAGTTATTCAGGAGGCTGAGGTGGGAGGATCACTTGAGCCCAGGAGGTTGAGGCTGCAGTAAGCCATGATTACGCCACTGCACTCCAATTTGGGTGACACACTGAGACACTGTCTCAAAAAAATAAACACAAAAACAAGCTTTTCGGCAGGAACCACCATCTTCCAGTAATTCACCAAAATGACAAACACAAAAGTAAAGAGGAAAGGCACTCGATGTATGTTCTTTAGGCCTTTTAGAAAACATGGAATTGTTCCTTTGGCCACCTATGTGCAAATCTACAAGAAAGGTCATATTGGCCAGGCACAGTGGCTCACACCTATAATCCCAGCACTTTGGAGGGCCGAGGTGGGCGGATCATGAGGTCAAGACTGAGACCATCCTGGCCAACATGGTGAAATACCATCTCTACTAAAAAAACAAAAATTAGCTGGGTGTGGTGGCACGCGCCTGTAGTTCCAGCTACTTGGAAGGCTGAAGCAGAACTGCTTGAACCCAGGAGGTGGAGATCGCAGTGAGCTGAGATTGCACCACTGTACTCCAGCTTGCCACCTAGTGACAGAGCAAGACTCTGCCTCAAAAAAAAAAAAAAGAAAAGAAAAGAAAAAAGAAAAAGACAGGTGATATTAAGCTGGGCGCGGTGGCTCAAGCCTGTAATCCCAGCACTTTGGGAGGCTGAGGCGGGTGGATCACGAGGTTGAGAGATCGAGACCATTCTGGTCAACATGGTGAAACCCTGTCTCTACTAAAAATACAAAAAACTAGCTGGGCGTGGTGGCGCGTGCCTGTAATCCCAGCTACTCAGGAGGCTGAGGCAGGAGAATTGCCTGAACCCGGGAGGCGGAGGTTGCGGTGAGCCGAGATCGCGCCATTGCACTCCAGCCTGGGTAACAAGAGCGAAACTCCGTCTCAAAAAAAAAAAAAAAAAAAAAAAAAAAAGAAAGGTGATATTGTAGACATCAAGGGAATGGGTACTGTTCAAAAAGACATGACCCACATGTGTTATCGTGGCAAAACTCGAAAAGTTTACAATGTTATCCATTGTAACACTGCCAACAGCAATGACTTTGCTGGTGGCATTGTTGTAAACAAACAAGTTAAGGGCAAGATTCTTGCCAAGAGAATAAATGTGCATATTGAGTACATTAAGCACTCTTAGAGCCGAGCTAGCTTCCTGAAACACATGAAGGAAAATGACCGGAAAAAGAAAGAAGCCAAAGAGAAAGGCACCTGGGTTCAGCTGAAGCAGCAGCCTGCTCCACACAGGGAAGCACACTTTGTGAGAACCAACAGGAAGGAGCCTGAGGTACTGGAACCTATTCCCTATGAATTAACAGCGTAACAGGTGTTAAAAAAAAATAAAAGAACTCTGGACTGTAAAAAAATAAAATAAAAACAAAAAGGAGAGAGAGAGTATAGCTGTACATCCCTAGGTATATCTCTTAAAATCTTCAGAACTAGGCCAGATGATTTTTTTCTTCCTTTTTTTTTTTGAGACAAACCCTAGCTCTGTTGCCCAGGCTGGAGTGCAATGGCACGATCTCGGCTCACTGCAACCTCTGCCTCCTGGGTTTAAGTGATTCTCTTGCCTCAGCCTCCCAAGTAGCTGGGACTACAGGTGCCTGCCACCACACCTGGCTAATTTTTTTTTTTTTTTCAATTTCTAGTAGAGATGGTGATGTTGGCCAGGCTGCTATCGAACTCCTGACCTCAAGTGATCCATCCACCTCAGCCTCCCAAAGTGCTGGGATTACAGGCGTGAGCCACCACATCAGACCTTTTTTTTTTTTCTTTTTTTGAGACAGGGTCTCCCTCTGTTGCCCAGGCTGGAGTGCTGTGGCCAGATCTCACTGCAACCTCTGCCTCCTCGGTTCAAGAGATTCTCTTACCCCTGTTTCCTGAGTAGCTGGGATTACAGGTGCCCATCACCACACCCGGCTAATTTTTGTATTTTTAGTAGAGAGGTTGTTCTCGAACTCCTGACCTCAAATGATGGGCCAGAAGACTTCTAAGGAGTCTCTGTATTTTAAAGTTCCATCACTGTGAATCCAATATTGTAGCAGAGACAGAGCTGAATTTGGAATCAGGAGGCTGGGATCTGAGCACAGCTCTGCTGTGTGAACATGGGCAAATCATTTAATCTAAGTCTCACGGAGAGTTACCTCTCAGAGTTGGGAAGGATTAAGGGGGTTACTGTATGTCAAAGTGCCTTATAAACTGTGAAGAACTACCCTAGTGTCAGGTATTCTTTTAAAATGTCCAGTCTTCCTCTTTTTGAGCAAGCCAGTCAGAAAAAGTAACCTAAAGTGAGTAAGATCTCAGGAATTTAAGCTGAAAAACCAGGAAATATGGTATAGTTAATTGTGCATCATACTTACCTTGTGGAATTTATAGAATCGTTTTTATTCTATCAATACTTATATTTTGATAATAAATAATACAAGGTAAAATTACAAATAGGTACTCACTTGTACAGGCCAATCATCCATAAGAAGATGCTCACGGTTCTTGGAATACCAAATTTTGGCGGACAAAATAGTGAACACAGTATATATGACAACGGCAACAAGTACTTATAAGGTAGTTTTCCCATTCAGTGAACAATTTCGTGTTGGGCCTTCAGGTCCACTGGGAGGATAGCAAACCCGACAGCAACACGAAAGAAGTTTTCCCGTTTTTCAAGCGAGCAGGGGCAGCACTAGAATAAACTCAGCTGCCATGGGCAGGGGCAACGATGTTTTCTCCCGAAACAGCTAATGAGGCATGTGTCAAAGGCCAGCCCTTCCTCTTCTTTGGACTAAGAGTCCCAGAATTGCTTTTAGGTCTTTTGAATGGAACTTGGGGAATCCAGTTCATTAGTGCACACCGGCGACAATTTTTCGATTATTCAGCAGAACTGATTAAGTATTTCCTTGAGAGGTTCAGCGCGCGCACGCGCCCCCCCGGTTTGTGTTGAGTAACGCGCGCACGATGTCATTCAGTGCCTGCACGTCGTTGTCGCTCAAGACTCAAGACGTTGCAAGAAAATGGCTAACGAAGCGACAGGGAACGGCGGCGCGGCGGACGTTGCTGCGGTTGGACGTGCCTGACCTCCCAGACCACACAAGGGATCGCACCGCCCCAGCGGCCGCCGCCCGCCCAGCAGAGCGCGCCGCGGCCGGTCCCTGCGCCAGTACGCACGCGCGGCCGTCATCCGGGTGCTGGCTGCGGCTGCAGGTTGCGCTAGGGTGGCGGACCGGGGGAGGGGCCAGCGGCTCATTGTGCGCAGCGCTGCGCCGCGCCGGCGGCCGCTGAGGCCTGGGTGGAAGTTGGCGCTGCTGCCGCCGCCCTGCAGCCCACTCGCTGCCTCGGCAGCGCGCTGCTCTTCTAAGATGGCTGCCGCTACCGCTGCGGTGGCAGCCTCGGCCGCCTCGGGTCAGGCGGAAGGTAAAAAGATCACCGATCTGCGGGTCATCGATCTGAAGTCTGAGCTGAAGCGGCGGAACTTAGACATCACCGGAGTCAAGACCGTGCTCATCTCCCGACTCAAGCAGGTGAGGCCCGGCGAGGACCGGGAAGGACCGGGAAGGGGAGCTTAGGCCGCGCCTCGGCACCCGGCTTCCGCCTCAGCCCTCGGCCGCCCGCAGCCGCCGGCACTCGCTGGGAGGCAGGTAGGGAGGCCCGGGGCGGCTCCCGCGCGCGCGTGGAGGACGGGGACCCATCCGCGGCGCCCCCGCCCCCGCGCTTCGGGCTGGGCCGGGCCTACCAGGGACCCTAGAGCCGCCCGGGACCGGCCACCGCAGCCCAGCGCGCCTCCGCCTCCCCGGGACGTCCCCGCCAGGCTGTGAGGGTTGCGGCCGGCCGGAGCGGCCTCCCAAGGGCGATCGTGGAGACCTGGGAGGCGCTCGGTCCCCAGCCTTTAGCCATGGTGAGCGCGTGCATTTCTTGGCCTCGGAGGGAATGGTTACTTTGGTGACTTCTGCGAAGTTACCGTTTAATTGTGCCCAACCGTTTCCTCCCCATCTGAGGGAGAATTGGTAGTGGGAGTCGATGGGTGGGTGACTGAGAGAGGTTTTGTTTTCCATTATAGGCTTTTAGTTTTTGCATCAGCGCAATAATCTACTTCATTCCTGATTAGCTTTCTGGTTTGAGTGAGCGTTGGAATTGTAGTAGAGGAGCAGTAAGTTTGCATTACAGGAACCAGGAAAACTCTTTTTAGTTATTTACTTTAGTAGCTGGCAACTTTTCTGCAATAGAACATATTTAGATTTTTGGCCAGTATAATGTGATATTTAATTATCTTGACACTGTAGAATTTAAAACTTAATGCGATTTTGATACCTAATGGTTTTTTCCCCCTGAAACTTTCTCTTACTCTCTCGTGTAGTTTAATTGCTCATTTTTGAAGTCGGTTTATGAAATGACTGGCAATTCTAATGTCTTGAGGCATGAGGTTTTTTTTTTTTTTTTTTTTTTTTTCGTTTTTATAAAATAAGTTTAGATAGACTGTGTAGCATATTAACTTCTCTTTCTAATGTAGGCTATTGAAGAGGAAGGAGGCGATCCAGATAATATTGAATTAACTGTTTCAACTGATACTCCAAACAAGAAACCAACTAAAGGCAAAGGTTGTTACGAGTTATGAACATATTTTAAAATATATTTTGGTTATATAACTTGCCTCTGCTCTTGTGCCACTTGCCCTGTTTATATAGTGCTACTCTTTGCTATTTCCCTCTGGCACTCTGCCTTCTTGGGTCAAGGAAGAAAAGTTACTGTTGCCAGGCTTTGGGTGACTTGTATCCCTTAAGATTCGGCTGAAGCTGATTAGAAAGTGAAAATAGTTCCTTATCGCTTCCGAAAAAATTACAAAGTCAAGTTGTGTAATGATCTTTCATAGTGTGAAGACCTGAAGAATAGAATACAGTTTTAACACATGTCTACCTTGCCCCACAATTGGCAGAGTATTGATGGAATTCCTACCAATCTTTCACCTTGCCTCCTTGCTGTTTTCTTTAGTATATTAAAATTCTGTTATCTTTATGTTTAGTACTTTGTTTGACTTGGTGGACTTAATTTGCATTTATGCCATTATATACATCCTAATTTTTAGTGAAATTCTAAAAGACTGACCAATCATACTAACAAGGTAGAGGGGAAAATCCATGCTTAATTAGCTTTAAAAGAGCTTTAAATTACAGGAATGTAAAGATTCTTATTTCGTAACTTTTAAACTAGAGCAGAATATATTTCCAGGATTTAATGATTTAGTGACTAGCTAAGTATTTTTGTTTGTTTGTTTGTTTTGTGTTTTTGTTTTGAGACGGAGTTTTGCTCTTGTTGCCCAGGCTGGAGTGCAATGGTGCGATCTCGGCTCACCAAAACCTCCGCCTCCCCGGTTCAAGGGATTCTTCTGTCTCAATCTCCCAAGTAGCTGGAATTACAGGCATGCTGTACCACACCCGGCTAATTTTATATTTTTGGTAGCGATGGGATTTCTCCTTGTAGGTCAGGCTGGTCTTGAACTCTCAACCTCAGGTGATTCTCCCACCTTGGCTTCCCAAAGTGCTGGCATTACAGGCATGAGTCACTGTGCCCAGCTAAAAGTGGTTTTAAATGAACATTTTGCAGTATGAAAGTAACTTAGGTTTTTAAATTATTATTATTATTACTTTTTGAGACAGATTTTCGCTCTTGTTGACCAGGCTGGAGTGCAATGGCACTGTCTCTCCTCACTGCAACCTTCACTCCAGGTTCAGTTCAGGAAGGCTCCTGCCTCAGCTTTCCAGGTAGCTGGGATTGCAGGCACCTGCTACCATGCCTGGCTAATTTTTGTATTTGTAGGAGAGGCGGAGTTTTGCCATGTTGGCCAGGCTAGTCTTGAACTCCTGACCTCAGGTGATCCACTCGCCTCGGCCTCCCAAAGTGCTGGGATTACAGGTGTGAGCTACTGTGCCCAGCCGGAATTTAAGTATGTTTTAAAGCTCCTGGCTAGTGAAACCTTTACTTGTATAACTGCACATTTCTCCCTCCTGTAAGGACAGTGGCAGAGGGTGGACATGATATATCTGGATTCTGGTGCTTACCTACAATTTTCATGCAGAATTTGGCATGGACAGTTGCTGCATGTTTTGTAAGCTAATTTTCTTTAGTGTTTTAAGTGATCCAAATGTTACTTCCAACCACTGGATGATTGCAAATAAAATAAAATGAATGGATTAATCTTGAAAAGAAGGGAATATTAAATGTTGATCTTAAGTACACCTGGGCATCACAGATGAGGACAGCTTGCTGTTTTGAGTCTTCCTAGGTTAGGAGAGCCCCCTGTTTGTGCCAAAGGAAACTGAAAAGGGCTAAGAAGCATTCCCTGGGAGAGGTGGAGATTTAGTTTAGAGGGATAAAAAAGTTCTCTTGAAGGTGACTTTTAATGTAACTCTGACTCATTGTATCCCTTTGAGAGATACATTTTTCTGTCTTAGAGAAGCTTGTCCTGAGAAGACTGCTGACAAACTTAAAGGCTTTTTCAAAATGGAAAAGCATAAAAATTCAGAAATAAGTTTATCAGGAATTAACCATGTGTCTTGTAGTGATTTTGATTCGTATCATTTACCTTGCACACTGTGCTAGTTTGACAGGTACTATGTATTAATCATAGTCCCAGGTTGTTTGACTTGACCATTATTTTAGCATTTAAAATAAACATGATTTATTCCATTCTTGTCAACTTTTAATTTCTCCGTATATCTGTTTTTCAGTTTTGATTAGGAATGTCATTTATCTTACCATTAGAAATAATTTCAGCAATATAAAATTTCAAGGAGTTTTTCAGTACATTTTATACATATATAGGCATATATATTGTTTGTTGGTTTGTTTTAATGGACGGGATATTGCTCTGTTGCCCAGGGTAGAGTACAGTGGTGCCATCATAGCTCTTTGCAGCCTTAAACTCCTGGACTCAAGTAAACCTTAGCCTCCTCAGTAGCTGGGACTACAGGCACATTCTACCACAACTGCCCAGTACATTTTTTTTTAATTCTTTTTTTAAAAAATTCTAATTCTTGGACCACTCCAATGCCGAATACATTTTAAAATAAGCCAACATTATTTATTTTTATCAATATTTCTTATTTTTTTCCTTTGTGTGGGTTATACGTGAACATTATTCCATAACTCTGATGTTAAGAGGTCTTAAGATCTTCAGTTAGAAGTTGTCACAGATAATGATTTGTAGCAGGCCTCATTCTAAGAGATGCGTAACAAAAAGCTGTAGTCTGCCTGAATTCCAGCTATCATTGTTATGAAAATCCTGTGACTTATGCTAAGAGATACGTGACAAAAAGCTGTAGTCTTCTCTGGCTATCATTGTTATGAAAATCCTGTGAATTATGAAGAATATAATGTAAATCTCCAACTCTTAAACAGTTTGAATTAATTTACAATAAAGATGCTTATTGATTTATTTTATTTTTATTATTTTTAGTATGAGAGATTTTGAACCCAGTTTACTTTTTAAAGAACACACTTACTTGTCTCAGATTCCAAGTGCTGCTGATCATCTTTAGATCTGGTTTTGCTTAAATTCATCATATCAACTCAGTTCTAGTTTTTGAGATGTTTTCTCTGCCAGTTTGCACAGTGATAAAATTATTTTAGGCCGGGTGCGGTGGCTCATGCCTGTAATCCCAGCACTTTGGGAGGCCAAGGTGGGAGGATCACTTTAGTACACGAGTTGAAGACCAGTCTGAACAACTTAGTGTTCTCTTTTTTTTTTAATTTTTTTTTTTTTTTTTTTTTTTTTTTTTTTTGAGATGGAGTTTCGCTCTTGTTGCCCAGGCTGGAGTGCAATGGCGCGATCTCGGCTCACCGCAACCTCCGTCTCCTGGGTTCAGGCAGTTCTCCTGCCTCAGCCTCCTGAGTAGCTGGGATTACAGGCACGTGCCACCATGCCCAGCTAATTTTTTTGTATTTTTAGTAGAGACGGGGTTTCACTATGTTGACCAGAATAGTCTTGGTCTCTTGACCTCATGATCCACCCGCCTCAGCCTCTCAAAGTGCTGGGATTACAGGCTTGAGCCACCGCGCCCGGCCTTATTTTTTAAAAATTAAGATGTTTATATAATAGCTTTTAGAGACCAAATCTGTATAGGGAAACATTAAAATATCGATAATGAACAGATTTGAAAACCAAGGATGTATTACATACTGTTTTAATGTGATGTCAGTTTTTCTTTCTCTTTTTCTTTTTCTTTTTTTTTTTTTGAGACAGAGTTTTGCTCTTGTTGCCCAGGCTGAAATGCAGTGGTGCAATCTTGGCTCACCACAACCTTTGCCTCCTGGGTTCAAGCAATTCTCCTGCCTCAGCCTCCTGAGTAGCTGGGATTACAGACATGGGCCACCATGCTTGACTCATTTTGTATTTTTACTAAAGATGGGGTTTCTCCATGTTGGTCAGGCTGGTCTTAGACTCCTGTCCTCAGTTGATTCTCCTGCTTCTGCTTCCCAAAGTGCTGGGATTACCAGCATGAGCCACCACGCCTGGTCCATGTCAGTTTTTCAGTCAAGTTGCTGAATTACTACATTCAGTTCTTTTTGCCAGATCTTGTTTTACTTACTGGTATTTACCTTTGAAATAATTTCATCTTGGTCATGCCACTTTTCCTTCAGTGAACCTGTTTTCTCTTTTGTAAAACTGGTAATTTTACTAGTTTATCTATAAGGCTCTTTTAGTTTTGAAATTTAATAATTATATAGTCAAAAATCAAAAGAAAATGCTTTCTGTTTAACTAAAATGATATTTAAGGAAGGAACAGATAAGCTCATAAACAATATAGTTTTTCTTCAGCACAAATTATTAGGAAAAAGAAGGGGATTACTTAGAGGCAGTTAGGTAGATATCAGCAAGATATAACATATAATAGCTTGTCAGGAAAAGAAATCATTCTTATGACAATATTAAAATAGTGAATAAAAGTTAAAAGACGAGAGAAGCTTCACGGGTATGGAAAAATACTTAGGTGAAACATTGAGCTTATTCTCTCTCTTTTTTTTTTTAATCTATTTTTTTGAACTCTATTGTGTATCAGAAACCAGTAGAGCTTATTCTCTTATAAATATAGGGTAATTTTCTTTTAAAAATCTATGTTAAAATGATTGTATTTACAGAGGTTAGAGGGAAAGGAATCTAAATTTTTAAGTTTCTCCTGGAATATTTTTTAAATGCCGCTATTACAAGCACAAACAATGTTGATAATGTTATAGTGGGTTCTGACATTTATATCAACATATTTATAAAATCTGTTTACATGTAGTTAATATGTGGAACTTTGTATCTTAGAATGGTTTTCCTGAGTCTTTTCACACTTTCTTTGTTATGTACTTTTAAGTAAGTAACCTAGAAGAAAGCTTTCCCCATTGAGGTTTATGGTTGTATTTGGGTATGTGTTAAAAAAGTAGTAAAACAGGTAGAGCTAACTTCTCATTATGTTGTTTTAGAGATTATAGATTTAAAGACTTTTGGTTTACTTGACACTGGCAGGCATAGCCTTTTCTTTTAGATTTTCAACCTTTATAGTCACCAATTAACTTCAGTAAAAGTTATATGGTTAATCAGTACAGTATTTAGAAC